AATAGAAGTAGGATAATATAATTATTTTTAAAAATAAGACAAAAATAATGAATTGGAGATTTTGTTAATATATCATGGATAAGAATTCAAAGAAGACATATAAAAAATAAAAAATAAATTAAAAATAGATAACAAATTAAAAATAAGAAAGTAAATATATTTAATAAAAAACTAAAATGACTATTGCCAAAGGCTAAAAAACTAAAGACTCTTGAAATTAGATTAAAAGCAAGAAAAGAGTTGACAAGAATAGAGAAGATTTTACTCTTACCTCTATATATACTATCTATCTAAGAGCTATATAATAACATTTTATAGGACCTCCAACATGTGTTTAATTTATAAGACACGTGTCTTGACTTATAAGACAAGTTTTCTATAAGTGTACCACATTGTTAGCTTATACCATAAGCTATCAACACACATGACACATGGTTAATTTTTTGATCAAGTTTTTAATCTACCAATCATCTATAGACATGTATAAAGGTGAAACCACATCAATCGAGCTTCTAGGAAGCTTTTCTATAAGATATTATCAAATTAAATTATTTTATTTATTTCTACTTATTCATATTTTTTAAATAATTATAAATATATCTATAATACTAAGATAACAAAGTCATATTAACTAATAAATACATAGTATATTAACTAATAAATACATATTATATTAATTAGCCTTAAGATTTTTTTAAAATATTTTTTATGAATACTTATCAACTTTTAGTCAAGATTTGTTGTATTTAGACAACTAAATATATAACATATGTGTAGTTGTAGGTATTAAATAATGGCCAAATAATCACCCAAGATAATATCTTAATACTTAATAGATATAAGAAAATAATTTAATTATCCTTTCCAAATTAAAAAATTAAAATTTAGTTCTAGAATGTTTTATGGTTTAGAATATATTTTATAAATTTAATTAATTAAACTAAATTAGATTTAGGTGTTTGATAATTAAATTAAATTAAAGCTAATAAAAAATTAATTTTTTCTCCAAATAGTTTAGATAAACCATGTAGATCAGTGAATTAATTGAATTATTTTTAAACCTAATCAAAGATCCAAATTATAATTATATATATAGCCTTATTTGAGAAAATGATGGTTCTTTCTATTTAATCAAATTACACCTAAGTTCTCATATTCAACAAAGTTAGTTTTGATCTTATAAATATGATTGTCAATATTTGTTTTAAAATAAAGAAGATAGATCTTGTCAAATCATGTATCAAAGTAGACTTAAGTTTTTTACTCTATCAATGGTATTTATATCATTGTTCTAAATATTGGTGGAAGAAAAAAAAAAAAAAAAAAAAAAAAAAACTTTAAGATTTTGATGGTTTCTAAACAAGTTGCTTATGTGGCTATTATATTTAATGTTTTGCAATTAGGCCAAAATTTGCAAGGTAGAACCTTTTCTAATCCAAAGATGTGTGAATCTAACTAGAAGTGTGTAATTAATGCATATCTAACTCTATCTAATTTATTGGTAGTACTTAGTGCCTTTTAGTTTGTCATTGTGGATCTCATCATGTTTCATTGACTTGATTATTTTTTCTCTATTTATTCTTTCAATTCCTTACTCTAAACTTTATTAGTATAAGGATTCTTTAAAACTAGTTGGAAGATATGAAAGATAGTCCATTGATCTTATGAAGAATTGAGAGGGAACTCAATGGATTCACTTCAAAGGATTGAGAATATATCATTGTAGTTCTTAGAGAAACTATTAAATGATACAAACCTAGCATATTGGTTTTGAGTTGTAATTTGCAATAGTTTAACTAGAATTTTTATTATATCATTTTAAATTTTTTAGTATGGTTATAAAAGCATTTTATAGATTTATTTAATCATTCAAGAATCCTAACATATTTCTTTGAAGTATATACAAAGCTTATACAAACAACTCAAGCTATAAATACTTGGCCAAATAATAAAAAAGATGACAAATTGGTGAATTTACTGACCAAGTTGTTGTACTTGATTGTTTAGGTAATGTAGTTGTCTAAGTCTTAGTTAACTATGTAATGCAATAACTTGGATCTTGGTGATTTGAAGACATATTTGATTTAAGGTTCTTCTTGATATGATATTATATCTATTTGAATACAAACTATAAGTAAAACAAAGGTGTTATGTTATTGTTTGGACAAAACGTCAAAAAAAGACCTATGTCAATCAATTATAATGTGAGTTGCAGAGCTATGACTTAGGCTTGATTGTCAAATTTTTAAAAAGTCATATATTAAGAAGCTATTGAGTTTTAAAACTTAATCAAATTTATTTTCCCAATGTGTTCAATCATCAATGATATGTAACTCATTGTAATTTTCTTTGTAACAATCTTTTTAATATGTATATATTTATATATACTTCTAGAACTTGGACATGTGCAATGTAAGTTAATCGTACTGCTGATGCAGCATCTTCTAATCACATTAAGAAAATAAATAGAAATATGTATTCATCAACTACTGTTGGAAATCAGTCACGATATCTGGAAAGAGGTTAGAGGTGGCCTCTCTGCCTATTTCAAATGAGAAATGTCCGTGCAATAAACGAATTTCATTGACTTGTTTGAGTCTTTCAGCTTCAAAGGTGATGTCGGTGTTGTGAATGCAAGATCAACACCATACTCTTTGATTTACCAGTCATATGGTGGTTGAAAGGAATGTACAACAATCAGTATGGTGGGTGGCATTACTTGTAGTGAGGAACATGAAACGTGCACTGCGGGGAATGGTTACGAAAGAATCCTGTCGCAGAATCAAGGCAAAAATAAATCTGTAAACAGTGCTCTTTCACAATATTCGATTCTCGATTCGGTATCGAAATATATTGCTAGGATTGTAAACCAATAATCAAATCAACTTGCGAGAGCAATTACCATTGGCAATGCACAGTTTGCAATGCCAGCTGTTATAATCCTTCAAATTGCTGATGAGAAATCATCCCCGTACTGGAGGGCCCAACACATCCTAAAGGAGAAGACTTCGAGACAAAGCAACGGATGCCAGGAATAGGACCCATGAGCAGCATTGATGGCGGGTGGGACCCGCACTCAGAGTTTCAAACAACTTACACTAGAAAAGGGGCACACTTTGAGTTGCATACACATGTTGAAGATTAGGCGAGAATTCGGGAATGAGACACGAATTGAGGTTTAATTTTAGCCTCTCCATCGCAAGCACGCTCGCTCTAACGTGCGAGACAAAGCAGCACTACACTTTCGCGTTTGAAAATTGTTTCCTTATATGCTCCACAATCCACGTTCTTTCGCCGGAGTAGATTCAAACCGAAGTTTTTGAATCAGACCCTGATCGTCGTCGGTATGCGGGGTCCCATCCTCCTCCGAGACCGATGTTTCACCCGAGGGTCCATCTTGAAAGCCGGGATTCGTTCCTCCTTGACCTTTACTAGTTGGCTATGACTTGAATGCTTGGCGCGAGAGTCAAGCTTGGGTTATCTGTCGACGAGACGCTCGGCTGCTTAGCTGAATTTAGATCGGTTAGGACTTTGGATGAATAACATTTCATTCGGCGAAAGCTGCATCAGTAAAGGATCGGACCAAGGCCGTGGTATTCGTTCCCGGTAAAAACAATCACAGTGCTGCAGGATAAAAACATTTAGAAACCATAAAACAACAAATTGGTTCATTATCTTTTACCAGGATACCGTCTGGCACAAGGATGTCGCGTCATTGTGTACCCACAGAATACTGATATACTTCAATAGATACTTCAACAATTATGCGCATCCATGATGTTTTTACTGAAATGCAATTAAAATCGACACAAGAGTTAAGCGCATTTACTATTCACCTCGTCCACGGTTTAAGTACCCAATAATAGAAACACGAGTTGAATTTTTAAAGGATAACATGAACCAATTGACTGAAAAATGAAGAGTGAGAACAAATGTCTCCCTGTCCCCAACGGTCCTGCACAGGAATGTTAAAAACACGAAAGAGTTATAAATAGGAGGATTGGATTCATCGAAGTGCAAATTTGCAGCCTTAAAAGAAGATTATTCGGAGTGTCATCTCCACTTCATTAATGTATGCAGAAAAATCACCGTCGCTTCTCGACCAGCCCATAACTTTTACGAAACTCTTACGTCGAAAACGACATCAAGGTACTGAAGAAGCTCTCGATATCTAATGGCTGAGAAACGAGAATGGTACGTGACGAACTGTAAAGTGGAAGAAGGGAATGAGAGTAATTTAGAAAGCTGACACAATCGAACGGGAATCGTAGGTACACGAGAAAAAGGAAATTAGGAGTGAAGAAGGGTCGCAACGGTGAATGGGAATTAGGAAGGAGAGAGATGGAGATACGGGCCCACCGAACGCAATCCGCGGTGACCCACAAGCGAGACGATGAATACGGATTGGCGAATTGTGCTCTGCACTGGAAGTTTTGAACAAATTTAACAAAAGTGGCGTGAAGTTAGAACTGGAAGGTTACATACACTCGGGTGAGACCCACAAGCTCTGCTGTCCCCATCCAGAATGAAGATGGGCATTCAAAACTGCAAGTGAGGGCTTAGTGGAGGAGAAACAAAGGGGCGAGATGACCAGAAGCCGAAGAGGAACGACCAGAAAACGCTGCTTCGTCTGTCAAATCCCCACAAAACCGAAGAAAGACCTATCAAGGAAGGTGCAATTTGGGTGCACAGATGGATGGAAAGTTGAATACTGTTCACTATTCCCCGAACAAGAGTTCCATCTTTACGCGCCGTGATTGTTGGGAAACAAAGTGGCCAACCAGACGGTCCCAGATCATTATCCTTCTCCCGCAATCATCCTGGACCGCGTGGTTGGGTGTGGAAATGGGGCGGTGCAGACTGCGCGCCCCGGCTGGAGCGAGGTGAAAGAGAGCACCTCGTGGTCGCGCGCAGGGTTCGCATCGCGGTCCCACAGTTTCTCCTTCAGATTCGCTTGACATGCTTTGTCTTACTCCTACTCAGCACCGAGAGGGCGGGCGAGAGAGAGAGCGAGAGATTTCCTCGTCATCAAGTTGGTACCATTCTTTGAGTTAGGGGTAGCTCAATCAACAAATCCTGGCAATTGGGCAATTGCACTGCGTGCTTCCTGAGCACAGAATAGTGTATTGTAGGAAACCAAGAGTGAGGAAAGTTGAGATTGGGAAAGAGGCGAGAGCGAGGGACACGTTGTTATTGTTCGAGAGGGAATTGCAGAGGAACGCTGGCGTTGCTGTTTTTCTATTTTTCTGGGGCCTCGTTCGCAGGCGTTTCGGAAGAGGGCACGATTGTGTACAAGGTGAAGCGTGCGGACTGTGAGAATGTCTGCAAGATGGGTCGAAGTTGCCCCGGAGATATGACTACATTTTGAGTGCCGGAAAAGCCGACATTGTGGCTAGGGTGCTCTTGGCCGTGCAGAAAACGAGAGTAGGTAGGCGGGTGGGAGATGTGGTGGCTAGTTGGCGCAGTTGGTGGTGTGAGCGATGCAGGATAAACTTGGTGGCGCGGAGATTGTGCGAGTGTGTGAGATCATAAGTGTTCAGAGTGTGTCATGATGCAGGGAAGATACAGGGATATGCACACCAGCGAGAGTTACCAGGTTGTACAGGTCTGTGGTGAGTGGGGGCGCTAGAAAGCAGCGTTGTTTGGACAGGGTTGTGGCCTGGTGGATGTTCTAACTTGGCGGTTTACGTAGGGAGAAGCAGAAGGTTTTCCTCGTGCTTGTAGGTAAGGCGTTGTATGCATTTTGATCTTGTCACTTTTCATGTCGGCGCCAGTAAGGACTATTAGAAAAATCTCTATGAATGACCGCTTTTGGATGACATATTTTTTGGGCAATTTCTCTCTGTGATGTGTTGGCACTGGCAGTGAGCCCTGGTTTTCGGACGGAAGTGGATCTTGTGCCTGGGGTGAAAGACAAAAATGTTGAAATTGCTCAGCCGTTATTTTCCGGCATGGCCCTCGGTGAGTAACCTATTGATATGCATGCAGGGAAGGAGGGTACGCCCCTGCAATAGAATAACTCGGGAAGGTGACTGTTGGTCGATGTTTGGTTGGGTAGTTTGGAAACCCCAGTGTACGTGTGAAGAAGAAAACATTCCAGATTGGCCGCGCCTTGTGCAGCATGTAGAAAGCGGGTCCAATGTCTGTGCGGGGGCGCTTTGTTGCGGAGGATTAACGTGGTTGGAGAGGGCAGATGTATAGTCCTGGTAGGGGTGATGCCCGTGCAACTGCGCTGCCCAATGCTCGCGACTCATCGACTTCCATGCCTATCGATCACGCATCAGCGTGGCACAGAGAGCCTTACAACCGGGATGCGAGGTTAGATAGAGGTGACAGGGAGAGGATTATCGGAGGGAAGAGGGAGTGGAATTCGGACAGAGCTTCGTTTGGAGCGCCTTATCCCAGAGCCTTCGGTGGGCTGCACCCTGTGAACGGGAGCCTTGGACCTCCGAACAAGCGTCGGCTGAACGGTGAGTGGAAGCGATTAGGCACATGAAAACTTTGGTCGTACGGGAATGGGTGTGTCCCTTTGACCTGTTGGCTCGCGCAGGTAGCAGTGTTGGACTAGATCGGGTGTGCGAAGAAAGGGGTGTTGATTTGTATTCGGATGGTTGGGTTGTCCTTTGTTGCAGGGCGACACACCGGGTTTCACAACGAGGGCGGGCGGTATGTGTCACCAGGACATCGAGGGGAGCCGCCGTTCGGGTCCGTGGGCCCTGTGGAGAACGGGTTAGGACGGAAGTTTGACAGAGAGTCGTTCTATCCAGGATCAGGATGTCCTGTCGGGGGTTCGGGGTTCGGCAACGGTGTGGGCGTGGACCAGCGTGCGAAGGAATTGGAGGAGAGGCACAAGAAGGAACCTTTTCTGCTGTTGAGAGACGGCAGGGACGGCGGGAGCTGTGGCGGAATCGAGCATGGCGTGCGTTCGTTTCCTTCTCAAGCGGTGTGTGAGGCAGAGAAGAGTTGTTGGGAGAGGGAGAGATCGAAAGGAGCGGTGGGTAATGGTTGGGAGTCGTCGCAGAAATTGCAGCGAGATCTTCGTGAGAGGGTGGGCGGAAAGGCGGAGGGTTACAGCAGAAGGGAGGGGAAGTTGTCCCAGCACGACGGAGGAAGGGAGTGGTCGCAGGCGGACAAGGAGTTGGAGGGGCGTAGAGTGGACGGGTACGGGAGTAGCAGTCGGGACGGTTTGACGGGTGACGGCGTGGGTGGAATCAAGGAGGCAGTGGGTGGGTGTGAGTGGAGGCGGAAGGAGAGGTCGAGTTCCGTGAGTGCATCCCGAAGCGGTAGTTATGTTGCAAGTAGCGGGACCGCGAAGGGGCCCGTGGGGAGACCCCAGGCGCTGGACGTGTCCGGGAGCGCGTCGTCGCCACAGGTTTCACCCCATTCGACAGCTTCGCCAGGGGTGCAGGAAGCGAGTCGCGATGATGGGAGCCAACCGTCTCCGCCGAAACGGCCTCGGCTGGGGTGGGGTCAAGGACTTGCAAAGTACGAGAAGAAGAAGGTTGTGGAGACGGATGAGGTTGGGGTGTCCGCATCGGGAGGCAGCGTGTCGGGAAGGGAAAGATCGAGTGTAAGTGGCGCAACGACGGAAGTGGTGCAGACGCAGGAGTCGCAGGCAGCAGAGGAAAGCCCCGTGTCTGTTGTGTCGAATCTGAGCACATTGCCTCCGCTGACGCCGTCAGCATCACCTTCGCAGCAGGCAGCGGAAGGTACGTCGGAATGGATGGGATATGATGGATTGTGTTGAGCAGCTGGTGTTTATGGTGCAGGAGTGGGTGCGTGAATGGGTGATGGATGTGTGGATGGGATGGCAGCTTTTGCGGATGTGAGTTTTGGGGAAGGGGAGTCGAGCGGTGAGAGTGAGAAGCGAGGTGTGAGAGGGTGCAGAGGTGTTGACTTGTGAGTCGTGGCGAGTGGGTGCGTGCAGTTGTGTCGAAGGCGATGGTGGAGTGTGACGGAGTGGAGCAAGAGGTAGTAGGCAAGGTATGCGAGAGAGTGGCAGCAGAAGCGGAGGCGGGCGGTTGGATTTCGAAGCCTGAGGGTGTGGTGGCGGATGATGTTGAGAAAAGAGGTAACATGCGTGCGGTGACAGAATGCGGGTTGGAAGAGAGCGTGAGACAAGGTGAATGCTGTGAGGCGTTGGGTTTGAAGGAGTCGATGGAGTGCCAAGCGTCACCGAAAGTGCGTGGGTCAGTTGAGCACTGCGGCGGTGTGGAGGTGGGTGGTGAGGTCGGTGTGAGTGACGCTGGTTCGAGATGGGCGAAGGAGGATATACTGCTGAGAGTGGAGAAAGTTGAGTATGAGATCGAGGAGGTCGAAAGGGAACTAGCGAAGGCGGAGAAGGTTGGGAGTGACAGGAGGGCAGCGGGTGAATGGGTTGCGGGAGTGGTTGGTGATGAGGGGAGTGCTGGCGTGGACGGTGTTGTGAAAGTGGAGGATGGAATTGATGACGGTGAAGCTATGGACGTGGATGCAGCAGAGGTCCATCCGGGAAGGGTTGACAGTCGAGAAAGTGGCGAGGCGATGCAGGTTGCGTGTTCTGGTCGGAATTGGTCAGGAGGAGAGGAATGCGGAAATGGGAGATGGGGAAGCGACGGAGCTGGAGCAGCCGGGAATGTTGGGGAGCGAGTCGGGGGCGGCGTGAGTGAGGGTGGACACGGAGGATCGGTGGACGATGGAGGAGTTCTGGAGGAAGGTGAGTTGGGTGAAGAGAAGCAAGAAGAGTGGACGTCGAAGCAGATGAGTGTGGGATTGGAGAGTGAGGGGAATCCGGCATACAGCCCTAGGGCAGAAACAGAGCCGGCACAGAGAGAGGAGATGGATGTGACAGCGGGTGTGTCAAAATGTGGGGTTGCAGAGAAGGAGGAGGCAGAGAGAAAGGTGATATCGTGGGATGTGGAGGTGGTTGCGAGAAGTTTGATGGAGGAGAATAAGAAGCGAGCCGAGCAGGCAAGGGAGACGTTTGTGCACCTTCTCAGGGAGGGTGTTGGCGTGGAAGGAACGTTGTACAGGTGTCCTGCGGAAGCAGGCGTATGGAAGGAGAACGTGGAGAGGCACTATCGGAACCAGGAGAGGATGTTGGAGAAGATGGGAGAGAGACGGCAGTCGTTGAGGTTTGCGGAGCAGGTATTAGCGATGAGGTTTCGAGCACTGAAAGAGGCGTGGAAGCAGGAGCAGGTGGGGATGAGGCAACAGCAGAGAGGAACAAAGCCCGTGCGCAGATGGGAGGTGGAGAAACGGAACGGGACTGCACTTCATTGCCATCGGTCATCTCTGCGGTTGAGGCCCGTACAAGCAGGTAGTTTGGTGATGTTGGAAGCAAGAGGAATGGTCGAGGCTTGTGGTTGAGCAATAGTTGAAACGAGGGGTGTGATGGGATGATGTGACGGGCAGTGTGGAGCGTGGGTGGCATGGAGGTGTGAGTGAGTGTTGGAATGTGTTGCAGAGGCGGTATGGATGATGGAAGGGTGAAGAGGTGACGGTAACATGGGAGGGAGGGAAAGGAATGAGAGGGTGGGTGTGTTGTGGGGAGGGAAGTGGGAGATGGTGAGAATTGACGGTGCGGTGGTTGTGGTGTCAGGTATGGAGAAAGTGGAAGCTGTGTCGGAGGAATGCATGAAGAAGGTGATGGCGAAGGCAGTGGTGGGGCCGGTGAGGGGCGTGTTGAAAATGCCGAGCATGATTGTGGGGCAGGAGAACAGACTGGCGCGGAGGTTTGAGAGCAAGAACGCGCTGGTGGAGGATCCTGTTGGGATGGAGAGGGAGCGAAAGAGCATGAATCCATGGTCTTGGGAAGAGAAGAGGGTATTTCTGGAGAAGTTCGCGGTGTACAACAAGAACTTCAGCAAGATCGCGTCGCATTTGGAGTTGAAAACGACGGCGGATTGTGTGGAGTTCTACTATCGGAACCAGAAGTCGGAGGATTTCGAGAGGATAAGGCGGAGGCAGCAGCTGAAGAAGAGACGGGATTATTCTCGAGTGGGTGGATCGTTTCTTTCGACGGGGCTGCAGACGAGCAGCCAGCGAAGAGAGGCAAATGGGCATGGGCGGACCGAAGGTGCGAACGTGCAGACAGTGGGAGCGGTGGTGGGAGTTTCTCACATCAGCGTAGGTACGAAGGCCGCGAGGAGCAGCATGCAGCAGAAGCCGGTGGAGCGTCAGCGGGTGAGCTCAGCGTTGGAACCCGGGAGCCTACCTGGAGCTGTTGAGATAGGGAAGGGTGTGAGCGGAAAGGAAAACAAGTGGTGTGGGACAGGTGGAGTTTCAGGCAGTGCAGCGGGGCGTGGTGGGATTTTTGGGATGGTATTATCGGGGGCGACGGTGTCTTGTGGTTTGAGCTCCGCCGTGGCAGGTGCTGTAAAGATCGGTCGGGAAAGAAGCTCGGTGAAGACGATGGTTGACGCAGGATTAGTAGTCGCCAGCTGCGGTCAAATCGAACAGCACGTATCTGCACCAATGGTTACCGGCAACGGATATTTGCAAATCTATTTAGAGAAGTCTGCTGGGAAAGAGGTTGGACTAAGGGATATGCATTGGATTGCATTTGACTGGGAGAGGAGAATCCCGATATTGCCGATTATTGTTTGGAGCTGGGATTGAGGAATGCACGGTTGTTGGGATCATCGGGGGAGTTGGTTAGCTCTTCGAAGTTGCACGTTATCTTGTCTAATTGCTTGTTGTGCATCGTACCAGTGGGAACACACGTGTATTGGTGGTAGAAGCTGAAGGGTAGTTGTGGTTTGGTTGGATGTGTGCAGGGTGATGCGCAGTGGACAGACAGAGAAAGGGAGCTGTTTACGGAGGGTGTTAGGCTATTTGGGAAGGACTTCGAGAGGATTGCTGTGCATGTTGGAACAACAAAGAGTGTGGGTCAGTGCAAGGCATTTTTCTGCAAGACCCGGAAGCGTTTGGGGCTGGACAAGCTGGTGGAGAAGTATGAGGATTCATTGAAGGTGAGGGTTGGAGCTGTTATGGCGGAGAGTCCCGAATGTGCAGATGTTGGGCGTGGAGAAGCGGCGGGCGTTCTGGCGGAAGATGTGCGGGTGTCAGGTCTTGCGGTGAGCGCGGGTCCTGGTATGGAAGTGGAAAGTGACCAGGACAAGGGAGATGAGAGTGAGAAGTCGGTAGAGGTTGTACTTCCTGTAGATGTACAGGAGATGGAAGCGGTGGAAGCTGAGGCAGGTGAGGGTGTGAGGGTGGAGGAGATAGTTGTTGAGGAAGTAGCGGTGGAGTCTGAAGTTGTGGAGGTTGTACCTGTGTATAACGGAGTTTTGGAGGATGTACCTGTGCATAACGGAGTTTTGAAGGAAGCACCTGTGGATAACGGGGTTTTGGAGGATGAATTAGTTGAGACCCCGTCAGTCGTTTCCGAATCAGTTTCTGAAGCAGTAGGGGCTTCTTGTATTGTTTCCATCTCGAAGCACGCGATGATGGAAAGTGGTGTTTGTTTGACACAGAGCTCAGTTATTTTGGACAGTGTGATGAAGGCAGTATGCGAGGTGCCTGCAACTGTAGCTCATTCAATGGGGGAGTGTGGTGCAGAGGTGTCCGAGGACGATAGAGTTGAGTTCGTTGCTGTTGAGAAGGAAACATTTGCGGAGGCTGTGGAAGTCGTTGTGGCTAAGGATGGGAATACCGGTAATAATTCAACAGACTTGGCAATTGGTTATGTAGTTGAGGAGGATGCAGCGGTGATTCGTAAGGATGCTGAAAGTGATATGGAGTCTTGCAAGTGTGAGCCAGATACTGGCCTTGTCAAGGCTGTCGGTATGTTAGCCAAAATCAGTACTCTGGCAGCGGATGAGCAGGAAGCGAAGGCAGTTCCTACGGTTGACGTGAAGGCTGATCCAGAGTCACCTCAAGTGGCAACATCTTTAAGCACAGATTCAGCATCTTTTCCTTCACTGCCAGCCGCTGTGAGTCATTCTGGTGGGTCTGTGTTCTCAAATTCGTCGACGCAAGGTAGTCAACAAGGTCGTGAGAGGGTGGGAAGGGTTGGAGGCGGTGAAACCAAGTCGAGGAGAGAGCCGACTTCTTGGACTCAAGAGGAGAAAGAGAAGTTCGCGGACATCATACGGAACCATGGGAAGGATTGGACTAGGCTGCACGAATGTTTGCCCTCGAAGTCTTTAACGCAGATCAAAACATACTTTCAGAACTCGAAGGCAAAACTGGGTCTTCTGAATGCAGAGGGTGTGAATATTCTGGGAGGCAGGGTAGCCGGAAGTCGGAAGAGGAAAGTTGATGAAGCAGAAGACGGCAGCAACAACGTGGCTTGTTTGAGCTCAGGGAATGAGTTGAAGGGAGGCGGTGTTTCTGCTCGCGACATGGATGGCGTTTGTCAGAATGTGAAAGCAGCGGTGGGCGGGGTTCCAAGCATGGGGATGGGTAGTGGTCCATCGGGGTTGGAGAGCATGCTGTACCCAATTTTCGGTCAGCGAGTGGAAGATCAAATAGCATTGGAGAAATTTATGCGGATGTATAGTGCGAACGGGTTAGCACAGAATATTGCGGGTGGGGTAAACCCGTTTGTGCAGCAATATGGGTTTCCAATGTTTCCGAACGCAGGGCATCAAAGGGCAAGTCAGCTGAGTTTGCAGCAACAGCTTGCAGCATCTCTGGCTCAGAAGTCGGGTCAAGCGAAGGGGCTGCAGCAGCAGGAGTTGCAAGGTTCTGGAAGCGTTCAACAAAGCGGTCAGGCAAGTGTTCAGCAGAAAGCTGCACATCAATTGCAGAGCGCACAGGTGGGGAGAGGTGGTTGGTTGAGAAGCTGAGTAGTGATGGTCTTGGTGCTTAGTGACAGTGTACGGTTTTATAAACCGGGTAGTTGTGGACGGAGAGTTTGTGGTGTGCATGATTGTGACGATTGGTACGTGAGAGTGGAATGAGCAATGTGGCGATGCAGCAAATAGTCGTGATTTTGTGTGGGATAGCGAGGCTGTAGATTGGTGTTGATGGATTAGCCGTGATTTGCAGATGGTCCGAAATCAGCAGCTTCTGGCAAGTATGATGCAGCATCAAGCGGCAGCACATCATCAGCAAAATCAGACGAGCAAGAGCGTTCCTCACCCTCTTCAGCCGCAGGTACAGCTAGTTTTCCAGCTTCAATGGTTGAGGGATTGTTTGTTTTGGAAGAGGAAATACAGTAGTTGAAAAGTTTGTTTTGATAGGTTGTGGTACTCCAACCTGGGCATGCTGGTCAGCTGCAGCAGCAGCCACTGGTTCTAAATCAACAGGTGATTCATCACCCGCAAGCTCAACAAGGTGGGAGTCAGCAGGAGCAAGGTAGTCCAGGTCACCTGGTAGGAAATCCAAGCTTGGGGGCTTGCAGTTCTGCTCAAGTTCCGAATCAAATGAAGCAGTTACTGCAACACCAAGCCTTGCTCCAACAGCAACAGGTAAATGAATGGTCGGATGCTTTGGATATAAGAGTTCTTTGTGTTTAATCATATGGTTCTGGCATTGGGCCTTTGATATCAGTGGCTGATATTTCTTTTGTGTACCTGTTATGTCCATAGCAGTTTCAGCTGGCATTGCAACATTTGCAACAGCAACAGCAGCAGCAGCAGCTTCAGCAACATCAGCATCATCAAGATCAGACTCAGGCGCAGGTTCAAGTTCAAGCCCAAGCCCAAATTCAAGCCTTAGAGCATTCCCATTCTCATTCTCAGTCTCATATTCATCAACCTCAATACTCTCTTGCTTCTCTACTTCAGCCTCTGGTGGTCCAGAAGCCTAAGGTAGTTGTGCCACTTCCCCCACAGGTGACAAGAACCCCGTCACCTCCAGTGTTGCAGCAGGGAGGTTTGCCTCATCGGCATGATCAGCACCAGCATGGACCATCGCATACATTTCTGAGAGGAAATGTGGCTAGTGCTGTGTCAAGCAACCCTGGAGAAGCTTCGACTCAGCAGGGAGAAATTGGAGAACAGTGGGGAAGCATTAGCCACGGTACGTTCTTTGTCAGTAGCTGGTGGGATGATTGGTGTGCTTTCGAGAGCACATACTATGAGCTATTGATATTGTGAGATATGCATGCGAGATGGTTGTTCAGTCAATTTCCGTGTGATAGTCATGAAATTGCAGCATTGAAATGTGGTGTGGATGTTCTCAGGAGGAGGATCGAAGGAACGAAATTTTTCTAGAGCTGATCTTCATCAACTGAGTGGTGCTGGACAAATGGTGAAGCCCTCCAATGCAGAGCCCTCACGGCCAGCAACGGAGTCCCCGCAAGCCCGAATTGGTGATGTGAAGTTGTTTGGGCAGTCTCTTTTGTCTCAGCCGACTTCATGTGCAGTATCCCAGAATGTAGCGCGTGGGTCATTTTCTGCGGCTGAAAAAGTGTCTTTGCAGCAGTCACCTGTTAGTACGGCGGTTTCGTCTCTTGCGACGAGCATGCCTGTTCCTGCTGCATCACGTGTGAAACCGTATGGAAAAGAGTCTGCTTTCAGGGGTGTTCCTTTTTCGTCCGAAGGACGGCAAGGTGGATGGCCTCCACTTGGTAATCGCGGGAGCATGGAAATGTGGAACATTATGAACAATGCGCATTCTCAGGTGGGTCAGGTATTGAAATCGAAGGTCGAAGAGTTGGAGCTTCACAATATGCAGGAATGTCGCATGTCTCGTGAAGCCCAAGATGCAGAATCAGATCAGAGCACTCCCAAATCGACACACAAGCCGCAGCATCTTGAACAGGCGCGAGGCGCCCAGGATAAGTCAGGAAGCGGGGGGTTTTCCTCATTGGCCTATGGTGTGGGGAAGTCCCGAGCTTGTGTGAATGAGCATGGTGTTTCGTCTGGGGAGGTATCTAGGACTGATCCTGAGAGAAGAGGCGAGAGCATTGGACTCGATTCCGGCTGTAGTGAGCGAAGCTCCATGATGGCCAGTAGAAGTAGTAGGGGTCAGGCGGAGTCGTTTGCAATGCAGGCAACCGGGCCATTCGCCAATGGGCAACAAGTGCCTCGGACCGTGATTGATGCGCTGATGGCCATCGCGGAATTGCATCGAATTCGCAGTTCACAATTTAATTCGAGCGTTGGCCAGCCGAGGCTAGAGGACCATCAATGGGAAAGCCTTGTACAGCATACTACTAAGGGTATGGCTGTCGATGCTGTGAAAGCCAATCCCAGTTTGAGCCTAAACCGCCCCATTGCTACTCCGCAAACCCACTTGAGGGGGAACGGTGTGTCACAGCACTGTGTGCGGGACAGTGGCTTGTATTTTACTCAACACTATCCAAATCTTCCTGGGCAGTCTGGCGTCGTTTCCAGCGCATGGAATGGTGGAACTGGGCTTGTTCATCCTTGTGATGTGCAACGCATGCTTGTAAATCCTGCTCTTAGTTCCTTCCTTCCAAGTGCATTGTCCAGAGCCTCAACAGCAACTGAGAAGTACTTGGGATCCTCCGAAGTAAGGGATTCTGACGGCGGCAGAGATGGGACATGTTAGTTTTAAGGTCGAGCTTTAGAATCGCAGAGAAAATAGAGGCAGTCGCCATTTATTTTCCTCTATCAGAACCTTTGTTTATGCTGGACAGGGCACTGGGCATATGCCCTTTGTAACATTATCTCACAATTCGTTGATCACATTTTTCCCTTCGTTGCAGTACATGTGCAGTAAAGAGTTGACACTTTGGCTTACGTTTGTGCAATTGTATTTTTGATGTTTAATACTAGTAGTGCTACGTCATGTCCTTTGAATATCATGTGAGCAGAGCACGTATCTACTTTTCTTTTTGCTGTACTCTTTTGCCAAAATTGAAAGCTCACTCATACTTTGCTTCAATGAGCAAGGACTGTTAATGTCTATGGAATTTCCTGTCTGCCTATTGGCTAGGACATGTCCGTGTGAATAGGTGAGCCCTGGTGTGTGTTGGTTCGGATCCTTCCTGCTTCATTCTTAACACAGCATACAACTGTCTCTGATGGTGCACTAGGTTAAGTCCAAGCCTTTGTATGTATGTACAGTCAGAACTGTAGATGGATTATTACTAGACATTTTTGTGGCCATGGAAATACATTTTCTGATAGAAGCCAACATTGTGCGTGAAAAATATCAACATCAAAGGATCGCACTAAAATAAGCACTGTAGCCATTTTGGACATCCATACTGCCCTCATTGGAGGCAAGGACAACATAGTTATCAATCTTCACACAGCTCCTCTGCAAGGGCAATCATTCCACCCCCTATTTCTGTATTTCAGTAAAGTATTGCTTCCCAGAGATGGGAAGCAATAAATAAATAAATATATATATCTTTTTTATATTAAGCTTCTTCTAATTTTATCAGAAACAGAATATATATAGATATATATATGTGTGTATATATCAACATACATGTGTATTCTTAGAAAAGTCCTAAAATTATATCTTTTATCAACATATACTAATTTAGCACCTTTGAGGAATTAAGATAGAATTTTTATGTGCTCTTCTGCTACATAATTTTTATGTTACATATAAATTTTACTATATAAAATAATTTGATATAAGTATGGTAATATTAAAATTCTGTAAATGCGTAGTATAATTGGTTTGAAATTGCAGATACATTTTATTATCACAAATTCTTCAGCAAATTTTAATTTTGAGTCCTTGAGTTTTATAACAAGTTATATTTATCACATCCTATTTAGCATCATGTTTTTATTCAAAAAAATCCCATTCTTCAAATTTTTCAGAATTCTGTTCTAAAAAACACACAATATAATAGAATAGGGTGTCTGTATTAAGGTATAGTTATATTGTTGAAAAAGCTTACACAAATATATACATATATAACAAAATATGTACATGCTTTTAAATAATTAATATACATATGCATAGTTTTAGCATTTTATGCATATCATTGTTTAGAAGATTGTATTTTTATTTATTTAATTTATTTTATATTTATATATATATATATATATATACACATATATATATATCCCAAAAAAGTTGTATGAATTCTATCAAAAAATAATATTATTATTTTAGAAATATATTCAATATTCCAGGTGCTTATGATCAAGCTCTTTTAACATAGGACATTTTATCAAAATGTAGGACATTGTTATGCCTAATTGCTTTTCAATACGAGAAATGAAGTTAATTTAAGATAGTAAGAAGTAATGATTATGCTTTAAATGCAAAGTTGCCCTTCCTTTGCACCTTCATTTGTCTTAGCATACACAAGAATAGAAACCTACTTTCATGTTCTTTATTAGTGTTGTATGATAAGAAGTTTTTGTTCTGTATCACTTAATATAAGACAAATATTCTAATGTCCTACATTAGAAAGGCTTTCCTATGACATTAGTCTGTAAAATTAGAATACTATTTTTTGTATTTCTAAAAAGAACATGAGGTTGTAGAAATTTTTACCATACTAGCAATTCTATTACCTCCATAATAAACACATATTTTTTAGCTTGATGTTCATAATCTTTGATAATTCCCTCTTGCATAGCTATTTCACTAAGAGTAAGATTATTTTGTTAAATTTTTATTAATATAAATCCATTTATATCAATCTGTAAGTGTTATTCTTTGCTTGAGCATGATTTCTTCCAACTTATCTACAATAATGGTTTACAGAAAAGTAATAGTAATATATGAAACAATCTATGAAGTTGTGTGGTTGACAATGTTTTAAATATTTTGATAACTTAAGTGTCAAGTGGTAGTTCAATGTTTAATATTGTGTACTACTATTTCAGTTTTTCCTACTTATATATATATATATATATATAGAGAGAGAGATTAATGCTTTTTGTTAAAAATATATAAACAAATATCTTTTTAGTTTCAAGACCAGTACATTGCAGTATAAATAGATAATTTAAAGTAAATTATTAAATCATCTTCCAAATTTGTAACCTTACTGAATATGACTGTAAGTTCATTAAAAATTCTGATAATAAATACATAAATATTCTAAGCAAAAATTAAAAATTACCTCTACCTGCCACTTTTACAAAATAAAACATATCACAAAAGAAAAATTATTGACACATACTCTATGCCCTTTGAAACGGTATTTTTTGCTGATGTGATATCATTGATTTTTTATTTAAAATGTATCTTGGCACATGGATGCTCACAGATTAACAAAGAGGTAGTTGTTACTAGATTGCAATAGAACAATCATATAAAGAGGCAAATTATGTTTATTTTTTTTAGCCCCTTCATGTTGGCAATAAAAAATATATTTTTGCTACAAAAAACCTTACCATTATATGCATCTGGAAGACCCGAAGGACCTTAAAAAATCTTAATTAAAATCAAAACAATCATAGTTACTACAAAGATTGTGTTATTTAGTTGGCCATTTGATTTTTCATTCAAGCAAGTACAAAATCCCACACCTTTTAAAATTTGTAATTGGTAATAATTCGAAGCTTATACAGAAACCAATTTATTTTCTTATACCACAAAACATAAATTGGTTAAGAACATGAATATATATAATCATAATAGAATATATAAATGTGCATAAATTAAAATACTTACCTCTATCTATCTATAGCATTTTGACGTTGTTAACTTTCAAGTAATTTAATAAGTATTCTCTTCAATTAATATTATTTTTAATTCAATTTAGTATTAAAAACAAAAAAAAACTAGTAGTATTAACTTTTAGGAAACCATTATCTTTAATATATATTTGATTTTGATTCCCCTTTCTCATCCTGACTATTTTTAGGTCTTATTCTCCTTCCACTTCACCTGCAATTTCTTTCAAGTATCAACTTACTTTAAGATTTTATTCATCAAGCACCAACTCTGAATTGTGTATTCTAATTTATTTTGAATACGTGGATGTGGCAAAATTTTATGTATTGTAGAATCATAGGTGAGTAAAATCAAATTTCAAGTTTAAATATCAATGTTTTAATTATTCAACTATTTTTATTTTAATTAGTATTCAAATATTCATGTTTTTTTAAAAAAAATTCAACAATTTAAATTAACATATATCTTGCATGAATTCAAATGCGCAATATACTTTAAAATGAAATACGATTTTCATATGTCACTTAAGATCTAATTGCTACATTGAATATACGTGCAGAGTTGGATTTTAATATAAACTAAAGTGTAAAATAGAGGATTGTATTGTAGAAAAGCATAGTCAACAATATGTAATCTTAGAAAGTAACCCATACCATTATAATTTTAATTACAAGGCATACCATGCCAAATATCTGATAGAATTCTTAGTCCAATCAATTTTCTCTCACACAATGGAGAGTTCATTGAATTTAAGATTGGACTAAGAAATGCCTTTTCCAAGTTTTTCCAAGTCCTTCAAAGTTGTTTTTCCCACAATTGCATTATCGGCATGAAGACCCACAAGATTGCGTGGCAAGATGGCAATAAGCCACGACACGATAGCTTTTCCAGTGCAGCCAATGCAGCTCAAAACTTTTTGGAACCCAAAATAAAAGCAAAAGCAAGAGAAAGAGTTTAATACTATTCCCAAGTGGCCTTGAATGTGGAGACTGTTATAGCCCAAGTCTCCTTACCAAGAGCGGCTCTTCCGAACCAAAGTCTCCCCTAGTGAAAGGGAGGGGGGGGGGGGGGGTCTTGCCTCACTCAAGTCTCGGAGGGTGCTTTCCTCCTCTCCTTCTCTTGTTTCTCGTGAGCCTTGCTTCATAACTCTGTTCAATAGGTGGCTGAGATGGTGACGTGGCACGCGGTGAGTGATGGGATATCCTAGCACTTGCTCCACACCCAATGGAAAGGAGGCAAACGCACTTTTCCAAAGATGGGGTGCGAGAATAAAAAAGGACTTTTTTGGGAAAAGGGGCTTTCTATTGAGTAGATGGGGTGCCCACTTGATGGGTCTCATTTCCCATATTCACTGAATATGCTCGGGTTTTTTTTATCATAAAATAATGTTATGAAAGAATGAATAACGAATAGAATAAGTAGAAGAGATATAGAATTGTTACAAGTTTTGGCAATCTGGGTTACTTCCAACTTCTGTTTTGTTTTGTAATAGGTGTTTGTTGTGTGTCTTTCATGTTCATCAATACATTGGTATTGATTGTATTTTGTTGGAAACCTTCAATACGTTTCAATTAAATATGTATCCATATTTTATTTTTTTATCGTGAGAATAATTGAAGAAAACATATAGGAAAATACATGTTGTGAGATCAATCTTTGGTTACAGTGATACTCAACTTAACACTCACAATGCTCACACAACTTCATCCAGCAACAACACCAAACCATTACCAAATATTAGTCATAATTTGATTTCCACATGGGCAAACAAAATAACTAAGTCTGGGTGATAAAACCGATCAATGATCAACGTAACGTGAAGAGTTGTAAAATATATGAACAGTCTGTTGTGAAATACAAACATACAGCTGTTAATCGAACAGTTTTATTTTTTAAAAAAAGAAACTCTCGGCACACATCTTAAACTAATGCAAAGCGGAGACTCAACTCTCACACAAACCCCAACACACAACTCATTTCCACATGCACCGCTATTTCCATTACCATCATCGCCAACGTCGAGTGTGTTGGACAAACGCCCAAAGGTTGGTCCAACAGCAAGACAAAGTCTGGAACAACTTTTCACCGAGCTCATCAACTTAAAAAAAACGCTCCACAACTCCGACATCACAGCAACATTCTCAATTAGGGCAGGAGTGCAGGATCATTACGCCTCAATCACTGGTAACGAGCAGTAAAGTAGACACGGAGCATGAATAACAACGCCGCTGGAGGATACACAGACAGACAGACAGACAGAGAGATAGATATATAGTTAGAGAGATCGATAGGGAGAGAGTGATAGAAAAGAGGAGAATGAAGCGTGGAAGATGCAGGACTAGGAAGTGAAGAGAGGGCTGGGTGGGGAAGGGAGAGGTGGGTTCGTAGATTGTTTTGCGACAGCTGATCGTCGATTTATTCCAAGTCCAGGCACAGGAGAGCAACGACCTGCACGCTACGTATGCGGAATAAGTACGATCCTCAGCAGTCGTCAGCCGACTGGCTACATACTTTTTGAGGCCCCTTTTGCCTTGTCGATGCTTCTCTCTCTGGGAGTTGAGCAGCGTTTCTGATTCACCCACATCTTCTCGCTATAATCCCACCCCGTCTCAGCTCCCCCAAAGTTGTTGCCTGTGGTTTGCATCGATACTGAACCTCGGAGCAGTGATGAGTTAACCGGTTTGAGTCTGAGTCGGTGGTTTTAGGTGCTGAAATTGGTGTGCGTGGGTTACTATTTCTATGAGGATAATGGTGTAAAGGTGCGGGATGTTGTGGTTGTAGAAGTGTCTCTGCTTGTGCCAAAGAGTGGAGGGAGTGGAGGAGTGGACGGTATATTCATGCACTAGAACCACTTCGACTTAACTTACACTGTTTCGCATAAATTTGGGGGCCGTGGCGTTGCAGCACGAGCTTGCTTGTGCCCTCCTGTATTAGATCATGAAGAAATTTCGAGCGGGGAGCATGTCTAGATTATTCTCTCGTGTCCTCGTCACGATGGTGAAGAAGCCTTAAGCTGAGGGCGAAACGGGATTGTGGCCATGATTGTAGTGCCCGTGACGACTCGATTCTTGGAGGAAGCCAATTGCATTAAGTGTGTTTGAGAGTAGGATTTGTAGAGGAGTGGAGTAGTCGTTTGGGTAGTATGCCAGGAGGAGGAGTGAAGGACGCTGCCACTAACAGCGTCGCCACAGCGATGGCGATCGCGGGACGGGCGTCAAGAGCATGCGACGTCTGTGGCTCGCAGCGCGCGCGCTGGTATTGCAATGCAGACAACGCGTATCTGTGTTATCGCTGCGACCAGAACGTGCATTCAGCCAACGCTCTCGCGCTTCGACACGAGCGTGTGCGGCTGAACTCGCAAGGCAATATCTCTTCGCAGTCCCCAAGAAAGGCCCTCGTCGTCGACACTTCTGCCCGAAAACATTCTCGTAACCACACGGCGCACGCGGCTCAATCTCCCCCTTCGCGCAAGCGGTCTCGTCTTAGCCGACGGCCTAATCCTCACGTCTCGTCTCCAGTGGACACCCTCTTCAAGCCTCACAAGGCAAGCCATCGCGGCAGCAAGGTGAAATCCGAGAGCTCTCACGAGGTACCTAACTTCGTGACTGTGAACATCCAGGAGTCCTCGTTTTCCTTCACTCATGATAGCGCCACGGTCATGTCCATGGCAGAGTATTGCAAGGGCCGAGCTGCTGCTGCTGCTGCGGCTGCCATGTCCATGTCCGTAGACGTAGATACGTACGAGGAACTCAGCAGCGGCGATTCTGACCAGTTTTTGGTGCCCACTGGCTACCTGGACGATTTCGAAAGCGCCGCTGTTGCGCCTGTCGAAGACGGATCCAGTCCTTCGGAGGACGCTGAGGATGCCCCTGGCTATGAGGAAAACCATCACGACATCACCGATGCTGTTGATTTGAGAGATGGTTTGGAGCTGGAGGGCGGAAGCGACGACGCATATCGCTTGGATTTTTCGGACATCGTGGCTCTGCGCGAGGGAGATGAGGATGCCTTTGAGGGAGATTATGGGGAAACTGAGGGAGATGCCTTTGAGGGTGAGTGTGGGGATACTGAGGGAGATGGTGAGGTCGAGGCTGCAGCATCGAATGAGCAGAGCTGTGTTGATGGCTTCCCCGAGGAGCAGCCGAACTGTGTCGTTCCGTTCACGAAGGAATATCTTTACAAGGTGAAGAGCGAGAATTCCGTGCGGGACGGCTTTGCTTTGATCAAAAAAGAGGTGGCTGCCGTCTTGCGGTGCTCTCTGGAGGGAGAAGAAGCGAAACCTGCTGCGCCATCTTTACTGAGACTGAACTTCGACGATGTACTGTCGGCCTGGTCGGATCGCAGTCTGTGGACAGACGGAAAGCGGCCCCAAACTGTGCCGGATGACTCATCGGAAGCTGTGGTAAGTTAGACTTCAGTATCAGCCAACGCAGGGAGTAATGTGGGGATATTAATAGAATCATGGACTTGTTGAATCCCACTCAAGAGTGGAAAGGTGTTCCGCAGGGTGTTAACATTGTTCACGTTTCACGCTCAGCCCGATGTCATGTCCTTAAATTGTCCTCCAATCTACTCTTAGGATAACATTCCCAGTGTTTTGCAGCATGAGTTAGTCATGTTATTTAATCAGAGGCCATTTCGCCTAGATGGTCCAATATACAGGCCAACAGTTGCTGCACAAACAAACCCCAATTAAACTACAGGGTACACTACAAGGAGAAGTTAGTTAATCCGGCCTGTGGGTTCTATCTCAGTCCGCTCTTGGAGAAGGTCACTCTTAGCAAGGATTAGTCATCGAATCTTCACGTTTAATGAAGATCTCGGAGGATGGATACCAAGCGCATGTTAAAAATGCAATGCAGTACTGTAATATTCAAGCTCGTTAAATTGTTGGATTGTTTTACAGGGAGGATTGGACTTAGGTCTAGTGCCAGATCTTAGTAAAGGATGTGCTCAAGGACAACCAGGAACAGGTGGCGACCGAGGAAGAGAGGCCCGCGTGTTGCGTTACAGAGAGAAACGGCGCACTCGCCTCTTCTCCAAAAAGATTCGTTACGAAGTGCGCAAACTGAATGCAGAGCGTCGCCCTCGCATGAAGGTCAGTAGAAATTGATGCGTCTAGTTTTGGTAACATTAATTCTACCTCATCTCCTGTGCATTTTTCTTCCCCTAATTCTTTTCTCCGAAACTGCTGGATTAATTGTACTGTAGTTCTCCCTCATGCACACGAAGTCATCAGTTATAGCATGGACTTCTTGCTGAAGGAACCATGATTTTGCACATCGAGATCATGTCAGTAATTGGAGCTTTGATGTTTTGTTTATGGCAGGGCCGATTTGTGAAGCGAACAACGGGTTGCTCGTGAGCAACGTCGTTCCCACAGAGTTTGCTGGACTATGTGATGACTACATACAGCGTCAATTAGATCGAGCTAATCGCTTAGGTTTGATATGAATTAGGAGATCTCGAGTAATCCATCTTCGCAAGAAGACAGGCAACTTTCATAAGTGGGTCACGTTCATAAGGGGTATGTCCTTGGTACCCTCCATGTCCTCGTTCTGAAGAGTATCCTCGTCTTCGATATTTCATGTTTCAGTTTATCGACCTCATATTAGGAAATTTCGATTCAGTGAGCACCGAAACATACGCTAGACTAGTGATTTTCCTGGTGATGTGTGTTAATGCGGAAATATAGACAAGGTAGGTAAGGTTCTGGTATAGTTTACAAAATGCAGCTTCCTACCAGTCCAGCTCAATTGGTGTAGATACAACCGTGTACAAAAAGGTGGTATGCGCAACAGAATTACAGCTCTTTTTTGCCACGCTTGACATAAGTGGTGGATTACGTGTTTGTCTACTATTAATTCTCAGGCGCTGGCCCCAACCGCGGGTTGGCCTCTCTGAGACAATGTTTAAGATAAAGGGAAATTTGTAATTTTGTTACCAAGAGAACTCAATTTTTTTTTTACCAGTTCTATACACTCACGGCCTTGCATGTGTTGGATATCTGCTTAATTGACAAAATTTGAATCTGGACAACTCACTACTCGGGAGAAATATAGAACAATGCGATGTGTAGTAACTTCTGTGCAGCCCCAACTGTAAAGTTGATGAGTCACTTTTCAACTTTCAAGATTCTAGTGACTTTTGGAGTCCATACTATGTAAAACTCTCACTGTGCATTTAGAACAGACAAACCTCCGAGACGCTTTATGCCAATGGTAGAGGTGAAGTGACGAAATATTCGTTGAAGTAGAATTGGTTTACTTCGAGGAGGAAAAAGGTGAGGTCTCTGCAGTTCCACAGTGTAGAGCTTGAATGATTGGTCCCCCCATCCCAACAAATATATGTCGAAGGGTGATTGGGCAGGTTGTGCAGCTACGCAGAATGGAGTGCCCAGCAGAGTAAAGTGTCACCGAGTCCTCCGAGAAATACCTGCCCGCTGCAGGCACTACTAATTAACCAACCAGGTACAGCACACTTCAGTGTAAATGCGTGACCACCAAAAGGCGGGGTGTGAAACGGAGGAGTTATTGAAGCCAAGGGCTTGACAGGAAAATTGGCAGAATGGCCGCATGTGGGATCAACATCTCACCAGTCCTGACCAAAATGGTGCGACCTACTTTTGAAGCCTGCCCACATCATGGGACAGACACCCACTTCAAGTAGGACTAGCAAAAAGCAATTTCGAGACGGGGAAAATATCCTCTCACCGAGTCTGATTGGAACGTGATGGATAAGATCAAAGGCAGTAAAGAGATAGCCTTTCTGAAACGCTCTGGCAAAGAAATGTACTGGCGAGAGGGTTGTTGCGCGATCGAAAGAAATTGACATAGTTCTGGTGTTGCAAGGACAGATCCGTGTGTACACAACCAGGATAAAAAAATACCGACACTCAAAGCCACACGCAGAGACCATTTTAGGGTTCCATCTCTACTACACTTTTAGGAAGATTGGAGGAATCATGGATAGCATGCTGCTGAGTGAGTTGGCTAGGAATGATCGAGAAAGCGAGAGAGAGAGAGAGCCAGCATCGTGTAAAGGAGCTTTGAACATGAGAATAGTAATGTGTGAGTGAAGGAATGGGGTTAAGGAGACTAGCTTACATGTTTACCTGGTGAGGAGCTCTCGATCACGCCTTGTGCATGAAGCGGTATGGTATTGTGATGGTCCACTGTGGGCATAAATACACCTGTCTGCTATATGATCCACTGTGGGCATAAATACACATGTCTGCTATATGATCGAATCCTGAGTCCCACTCAGTACGTGGGTTTGAAATTAAAGCTTCATGGGTTGTATGAGGTTTCATGTGGACAACGACGGTACAGATGCAGATCAATATGAACCAATTAAGTGTCGTATTGTAGTACACTAGTGCAGAGCTTGCATTTGAAAATGACTTTGGTTTCTTCAGAATACCATGTGGGATTGATGTGGTGAGGATACCTTGAGAGGCTTTGTGAGACCCACATATTAGGAAGAACATTCATGACATGGAACAGCAGTAACATTTGTTGCCTCGTATGCATTAAAAATTGTATGAGTAGTGACAAGTTTAAATTTTGTCGCAAATCGAGAAAATGTCGTGGATCTGAATATATATGTCAGTCTAGATTCGTATGAGATTTTCCAAGAATATCCTCAGAGGGTTCAAGATGGTTCGCTTCACTTGCTTCATCGCTGCGTTGGACCACCCACATCATATTCATCCTCATTTGTTGGCACCACGTTTTTGCTACCGTCGGATGAGCTGGTTTGGCTCTCGGCTTCTAAACGTAAGAACAGGGTGGGTCGTCTACAACATAGCTTATCTGAAACCTGTCAAGGCATGCGATCTAGTGCGGAATCCTGTGGATCAAACCGTATCGTCCAAAGTGGAAGAGTGCTGATGGAAAAGATGGCATGGTCTTACTGAGAGGCATTCACCGCACCCCATAGTTTGTGCCGAGACGCCATGTCAAGTCCCCTGCTGGGCTTGCCCAGACATACCCTCATAGGCGTGAATTTCTTCATTTCATTCCACCAGGATTAACTCAGGCACTATAGCAATACGGCAGGAATTAGAAAATGCTTACCATCATGGAGGAAAGACGGGAAAACATCCAAACATTGGTTCACACAGATACTCACCAGTCACATGAAATCACTAATAATTAAGCCTCCGTTACATGCACGACAACCGATTGCAGGCAGAAGGGACACCTTAAAGCTGTTTCTTATCCTGTTGCACCTGCACAGTGCAGCTAAGGCTTCTTAATGAAAACGAGTAAACTCTCACATCAATAGTACCTAATCTATCAGTGTAAAGAACTCAGGCCAGCTATCACGGTAAACTTACTCACGCTCAATCATGGTGAGGGAGAGGACGAAGAGCTTTATTTGCGGATTTCAAACAAAAGAAATCGACAAATGGAATGCTCTTCGTGCCATCGAAGTAATTTCGACATGGTCAGCCTCCAATCACGTTGTCTGAAAGATCCCTCAACCACGTAAGCGAAGTCTAAGATTGCATGTTCAGAGTAGGTATCAGTCGTACGTGAAATGCAATCACGTGTCAGATGCATAATCACAGTGCAGATCGTGCACCATCTCCTGCACAATACCTCACCGACATTGATCATCTGCCTCAATTCGCTTTCAGTTTGACGGTGGTATGCAAACTTGTAGCGTTAAGTTCTAGCCTTATTAGGTTTTAGCGAGTGACCAAAACGATGAAGAAATCTTTTGGGTTGGTAATTGTACCCACAAGAAAAATGCGTAAAACGTAGGTTATATTATATTACAAATCACCAAGAACGTGTCACTAAGCGTTTCATGTCATGCGAAGGTGATGCTGCTCCTGGTACACTAACGATGTCGAAACCACCCAGAATATCCCATCCACAAGCGCCTTAAGCATTGGCTTCATTCATAGGCTACCTTCGTGTAGGAACTGGGTGAAACCGTGCACCTAGTCATCCTCTATTCATTCGTGAGTGATAAGGATGTAATCAATACTAGCCAATAAACTTGAGACTTATTATTAGTACTAAGTTTAGACTGTATATACACTAATAAGGAGATGAATAAACTTTCTTCCTTCACTGTGCTCTCCAAGATTCAATATGATTTCATAGCACATAATCTAGTCCTTAGACCAACATTAGGTCAATAAATTGTCTTAGCCAAAAGAATCATGTGTAGTTTCTTTTAAACATAGACAACAAGAGAACATGATACATATACGTGATGAGGTCTTGCATGGTGGTGTTGAAGGCAACACTTTGACATGTACCTTCACTACCCACATTAGGTTAGTAGATATATAAATTCATAATACTTATACATAGCAGTAGAACCATATATGTTTCTATCCTTGAATCTAGCTGACTAGAAGGTTCCAAGAACTGTAGAGTTTGGTTCCTTTGCATGAAGTGCATATTAGAGCATCATAGACTTTAGACTTATTACATCACTGCAAAGAACATGGTTATAACAAAGATAACTTTGAGCTAGAGAAGTCTATTTAAAAAATAATGACCTTTGACAACAAATTAAAGAAATTCAACAAACATAGTGGTGTTATATCTTCACTTTGTAGATCAAAGTACTCCAATGCAATGCTTGCATCAAGTAGCTCATAGATTGATATTAAAGACATCATTGAGAGCTATTTTATTGAATCTTTTAAAGTCAATTTACTAAAGCAGACAAGTGATTCTTTCTACAAAGCCTTATTGGATAATTCCTACAATATTTCAGATTAGAACTCTGTTAAAATATTGGATGTTGAATGGATACTTGATTTGGGTACAACCTTCTACATTACTGACAACTTTGGTATTATAGCAAATCTTATTATAATCTTTGTTGTACCCATAATTGCTATTGGCTATAAATCACACATTGTGGTTAACAAAGGCTTAAATTATGTCAAATTTTTCAATGGTCAAATTAAATATATAGAGAATATATTATACATTTTTGGTATTAAATACAACCTCCTCTCAATTGGATGTATATCAAATCAAGGATATTCTTTAAAGTTTTTATGTAATATTTACATCATCAAGTATGTATATATATATATATATATATATATATATAAGAAATATTTTAAATAAAGCTACTCAAATATACAACAAAGGTTTCTATCACCTCTTTTTTCAAAGTAATAAGAGCCATAAGCTTTATAGTCTAGAAAATAGACAAAAATTAGAGAGAGTGTTTTTTGGCACTATATATTAAATCATTTGAATTTTGATTTACTATACAAAATCTTATGTAAAAATTTAGTCATTAATTTTTAATGATTATCATGAATAAATTATATATATATATATATATATATATATATATATATAATATTTATGGCATTTAAAAATAAGTTTTTTTTTTTTTTTTTTTTTTTTTTTGTAGAAGCTAAATTATTACTTCTACCCTTTTAGAACTAATATATAGTGATGTGGGTAGAATCCTTCTATAGATCACCCTAGAATAGTGTTCAATATTTTGTCACTTTTATTGATGACTATAATAAGCACATTATTATTTCTTTCATCAAAACAAATGATAGAATTCTTCACAAGTTTCAAAAATTCAAAGTTTAAGATGTAACAATTATTAAGATCAAATTATTAATCCTTTACATTGAAAATGGAGATGAATATATCTTTGGAGCATTTTTTATTTTTTTTCATCCAAAAATCATACATTAGACAAATCAACTATTCATTCTTTAAAATAATGGCCTTGTTAAATATAAGAATTTCTCTATCTTTGAGACATCTTAATGTCTTTTCTATCAAAGTAGTCTTCCAAAGCAATTGTGGTCCAAGACCATATGAGCATCAACTTCTTTTTAAAACTAGGAACCAACAAAGATACTTGTAACAAAGATTCAAAAGAAAGCTTTTATCTACAAAAAACTTGATCTATCCTTCATGAATACTTTTGGTACAAAAATATATATTCATAACTTTTGTTATAAATG